CCTTGATTCAATATATTTATTATATCAATTAAAATAAATTCATTTCAACTATGGCTACTTATCATTAATTGTGAAATTCGTTTAAAACAAGTAAGATAAAAGTCCTTGTGTTCAAGCAATGTAGCCGATCTAGGATTGTAAGTCTTTCTTCTTTCTACGTCCAATGGACTATATAATCCCGGGTATATAATTCCCAAAATGGACCGATTGGCCAAATTCTTCATCTAAAGGAGACATCTATATTTGATCCAATATTGTTTACTTTCCATACAGACATAATTGCACTTGCCGCGACATCTATGATAACATATTTGAAACACATGATTTAAAAACAATGTTATGTCAAATCCAATACTCACAAATTATGCCTATGATGAAAGGGGCATGAAGGCACATCCTTGAAGAGATGAAATTGCAGTGTTGTATAAAATGGTATTTCGGAGTAATGAAACATGATATTTCTTAGTTCTAGCAATTCCGGTTCTTTAAAACGGGTCATATCAATTTCAATGTCTTTCTCTATTTGAATGACAATGGCGGTATGTTTGATGTTTTAAAGTTCCGCCTTCAACCTGCTTGGCCTTCTAGGTATTCCAGTTCACTCAATCCATTTAATCAATCAATTACATAATATATTCTGTTAATTACACAATGTTCATATGCCTGGGAATAAAACACGTCGATTCTATTATTTGCCATATATATTCACTATTGGGGCAATCTGCGAGAGGTTCCGTTTTTTTGTTCGTTTTATTGCGCATGCGCATTCGAGTCCAGCAATTTCATTAGTTCAAATTCAGATAGTCACTAGCTTAATACATGGCGGAAATATTTTCCTTTAGTGTTAAGAGACAGATAATAAATATGTTATTATATGTCTCTGGTTAAAACAAATAACTCTCAACCCCAATGTATTCATTGGCAATAATCTTTGATTTGGTTACTAAATGAAAACCAAACCAGCCGCAGAAAAGCAATTTGCATCACTGGACGTGTCAAGATGTAGGGACAGAAAATACTGACATTTTAAAAGTAACGTTTTTTTTCGTTTTGTTATAGCGGGGACAACCACTACTTCATCCTAGTCATGGGCGTGGGCTATATTTTGAGTTGGTACGCCCACTTTGGTATGTCTGATTCCGCATCTTGGGGTCCGGGGATATTTTTTCCCCATATCATGACATATAGCCATGCAATATGGCCAGTTTGAGATGATTTTGGTGTCAAACGCCTCCCTTCAACATCCAATGTATACAGTAGGGAGTTTAAGCTTGCAATGTTTTCACAACCTAAACGTGAACGGAAAATATTTAAGCGATACATTTGTTTGGGCGATTGGTCATACGCATGTGGTAGCCCCTGTTCTGGTCTACTAAAGTGTTTTGACTCTTGTCCAACTATTCTGACAACCCAACTGTTCCGAGTTCATTATTTGAAAGAGGATGCCAAAAGATAATTTTGCTTGAAAATAGTGTTCGTCCCAAAATGTTGTCCCTTATTGAAAATTTGGACGGTCCAAATTGGACCCAAATGAAAAAATCTAGACCCATTTTTCAAATTCGAGGCCCATTTTTTCATGAGACCTATTTTCTCAAAAAGGAGGCATATTCCTAAAATTAAGACCCAGCCTTTATATATTGATATCATCTAAAAGTTCCATTGCTCAAGAGTGTTACATGCTGTAAAAGTCGAACGCCAAGAAATCTGTCTCCCTCAACGGATAAGCTGTTAGTTAATTATATTAATAGATGGAAGGCCAGTTGTGCACGAGGCAAGTGATTCCATTAACTTAATTTCAACAGTACTCATCTCTGGAAGAAACATAAAATTGAATTATTAATAATTACCGTATCAAGTGTATTTGACAAAATGAGTAAACCCGGAACACTTGGGTCAAGTCAGAATATTTCGGCAAGAGTCGGAATACTTGGAGCTCACATACTACGCATAGGTTGGTGTTTCGATTTTATATGCAAACTTAAACTCCCTATTGCTTGCACAAAATGCGTGCAGATATCATGCATGCGGTGCAACATTAACGGGCATTTCTGAATTTGAATTCGTGATATTTGTTGGAATAATCAGTTATATTCATACAGGTATGTGTGAAGTGGATACCGGATGAAAAGGAAATTAAGTAAATAATAATCTACTTTATTTAATAGCGACGCAGTAAGTATTAAACCTCTCCCCAATGCATACATTTTGAAATTGCCGCTTTTATACACCGTTCAGTCTTTTATTCTGTCTTGGAGATCAAGATATCCTATTTTTGCATCTTAAATGTCATATAGTGTCTGTGTGATTTAATAAAAAAATCGGAAAACATTATAGGATATGTGCTACCCCTAAACACTAGGCACGGATAAGCAAATTCATAAACGGGGAACTTTAGTATTTGAAGATGGATGGATATGTAAAAAGATTTCACCATACGAATTCTCGCACTACTAATTGTTATTTGGGCCAAAAGTGAAAGAAAAGGTTTAGTGCCCATTGCGTTTCTATAGAATAAAAAAGTAAACAACTATTTACATAATTTCCATTTCATTAGGTATCATGTACACATATATGAATATAACTGAATACTCAACAAAAATGGCCGTAAACTGCACACCGCGCGCACATATATCCGCACCGAGTGTTTTTGCAAGGTTCAAGTACAGGCCAGTATCATGCGATCAAAAGAGTGTATAACTTCCTGAAATAAAATGTATTCTCTCATATAAATGGTGAAATTAATAAATAATACATCATTTGTCCTAATATGATAAGACTTTTTATATTTTCTATATAATAATCATGTAATGTATTACAATTCAATTTGGGATTGTCTGTATTAATTGTCTTTCATCATTGATACATATTTCATTTAAGTGGCTATCACGTCAAAGATCGCTGCTCTCGATTTTGCACCAAAACTAAAATTATCCATAACATTCCAGTTTGTATTCGTAATGTAGTTACGTGAATTGTGTCAGATCGTAAATTAGACGCATCGTTTGTAAAGTCGTTTCTTTTCGTGCTACAATAAACAGTCAGTGTTACCTAAAAAGAGAAAGGTTCTGTATGCATCAATGCAAATAATATATATCACTGTCATATTCCTCACTCTCTGATTGGCCCATGTCCTTACACCGTGACTAAAAAATAAATACCAAATATTCCATTCTATTGAGGTGAATACATGTTCATCTTTCCCTCAGTATATTTCCCGCAGCCCGAATATTTGATTTATTATAACACTTCCCAAACGCCAGATCGCGCACCAATGGGGTAGGGGAGGAGAAAAATGACTATTTATACAGTAAACCAAATCACCGCTAGTATCCTTACGCAGGACTATATCCTACTGTGGTATATACTCTGTGGTATATATTCAGTTGTATATACAGTTGAAAACGAGGCTGCAGCTTAAGACTGCAGGAAACAATGAAATACGCCCTAATATCTTTAATCATGTGATCGGTTCTTATCCAATGAGAAAGCGAGAAACATTTCAATGATATAATAAATAGCGATATTCAACGGAAGTCACATGACTTCACATGAATATCAAATGATATTCACCAGTCCGATTTAGTCCAGTGTAATTTTAATGTTGTACTGTATAAAACAGGCAATTATTTCTTGTTTGACTCCTGGTGATAAGGATACATTCTTTAAATAAAACTTTCAAATGGTAAAAACCTGATATGTTTGAAATTATGATTGTTTTAATTAATTCAGATAATTTTGTTGAATTTGCCTCACCAATATTTGAAATACTAAACAAAAATAATAAGCATTTATGTAATTACACAAATTAACCACTGAACATTACATTAAAATCATAAATAAAATTTACATAATGATAATCTAATTTATAGTAAATATGCTTAGATTACCGCATTGGGTCTTATAAAATTTGAAAAAATTCAAATGAAACGAAAACGGTATTTCTTAAAGAGTTAAGACACATGGACCTCCTTAAAGGTGCTACAAATAGTGCAGGGGGGCCATTCAACGATCATCGACAAGTGTGAACATATATTTAGGTTTGGATATTTCATCAAGACTAACATATATTTTCATTATCTACAAAGAAACCCTCTGGATGAACATTATTTCAGCTGATATTCCTCTTGAAACATGGTGGATCTTAAAAATCTATAAGTGGGACTCCCTTTATAGAAGCTTTGAATTGAATTTACACTTCTTAATGCTGAAATTGATAGTTTATACATACATTTTATGAAAATAGGTATGTCAAAGAAGGTATTAAGCCAAATATTGACCTGATAGCTCAGAAAAAATAAAAAAATTTCGAATTTTCTCTCTACAGTCCTTATTGCCCCTTTAAATATTGGTTCAAATGTTACTGCGCTATATTGTGCAACGGATTCTTAGTATTCCGGAGTCATACTATTGACTATGATGGACATTTTTGGCATTAATGTGATTGCCAATTCAGTACAAATGTACCTAGCCTAACCATGATCACAGGGGGAAAGTCTACCCGCGTATATACAACCTACCGCCGAGCAAAGACCCGAAGATGTCTGAAAATGTAGGGGATAGGTTAATAAACTCCTGTTTATATATTGAATTTCTCAATGTGAGAAATAGATAAAACACAGAATTGTTTGTAACAGATATAGTTGTTGTTCCAGGCACTCATGTTTGCAGAATATAAATGAGTACTTTATGCAATATTTACTATCAAATCGCTAAATTCAACTTCTAAATATTAGAATGATGTTTTACATCTTAAATAAGTAAGAACCATGGCTGTATTTACTCCATTTGATTCAAAGATACAATAGGTGGAAATATATCACATTTGGTTCACTGCCATACGTTGCATATCATTGAAATCACCAGTGAAAGTTGAAAATGAAAGACCCGATTATACCACGAGTATGAGTCAATGGGACCCGATGCTACCGCCCGAATATTCCGATTATACCGTGAGTAAAACCCGATTAGGTAGTGAGTAAGCTTTCGGATGATCATATAATAACATGAAGTATATCACAAAAAATCCTGTTAATATGATATAATTCCCGCAGCACTATACGTCAACGTATGTGTCCCGCAAAGTTCTTTAAAACATTGAATTCATGCTTTCACTCGAATCACCATAATTTTAATTGTTGATGGTATCATCTCATAATCCAATGACTTTGGTACGTGTTATTTGTATCTACAAAGACGGTAAACATATGAAAAAAAGTTATATATTTTGATTGGTCTAAAATGTGCAAAGTTAAAAGACCCGTTATGCTCATTTTGAATAAGATAAGATATCAGTAGAATGGCTACTAAAATGAAAAAGATTGACCACTAGAGATTAGGAACTTGAAACATATTCATTTTTATCCATAAATATGGATAATAATTGATTTAAATGCAATTTCGCGCTATTCATATCCTCCAGTGTTGATAGCCTAATTTCTGTTGTGTCAGTCTGGGTCAAAATGTTACAATAGTATTAATAACGAGGAACATTTCTAATAAAGGCAATTAAATCAAGGTTTGAAAACTCCCAAAAGTATTAAACCCTAACACTATTTCATGATCAGCACGTCATAAACTCGACGATGTCATCGGATCTCAACAGATTTTACTCAAGTAATGTTCGGATTCTGAGATCCTTTACTCAAGATATTTTCGGATCTTTATAATATTACTCATCGATCACATCGGGTCCGATGTCCGATAACATCGGATCTTTTAGGACAAAGTTTATGTGAAGATTTTGCTGTTCAAAAGTGCTATTTTGACCTAATAGTTTGACACTTAATATATTATGCATATGACAGGCATTTACCGACCCAGGTATGTCTTATGTATGTCTCGTAATCAATTAAAGCGAATATGAATGAGAAAAAACCGAAACCCATTATACGTTTTACTTATCTCTAAATTTGGACATAAAAATATATTTCAAATATAATTTGAGGCCGATATTCCGCCTGCTAGAACATCTTAGTAACGATTCTAACCATTCAAGGGAATTAATAGTGGCCCAATATTACCTTTATTGTCCATTTTCCCATGAGATGTAGTTTACCAAACATTGGATTGGCGGTAAATGCGTGTCTTACTCGGCGGTAGGTTGTATATACGCGGGTAGACTTTCCCCTCGTGATGATCCTAACCTAGCCTAACCATGATCCAAATATTGTCGATGGCACTTATTCACCCCATGCAGACAGATCGCCTAAAATTACATTCGTATGATGTGAGACTCGACATTCACAAGGGAAGTAGAAACATTTTGTCACCCATGATGCAAATTAATTTTTACTGCTTAATAAATTATGAATGGCAGTCATATTAAGTTCTATAAGTATGAGAATAGCATGCCGTCTTGATATTTCAAGGTAACTCGTTCGAAAAATGACGGTGATTGAGATGACGGTGATTGATATGGCGATGTAAAGATAAAACTGCAACGAAAATTTGTAGATTTCTTTGAAAAAACTAAACAATATACATGTTACATTGAAGTTTTCAAAACAGAAAAAACATGTATAAATAGTAAGGCATGTAGGTCCGATTCCCCCTGGTAGCATTAACATTGGTCTCGTATAAGTCATACAATTAATATTTGAAACATTGCATGTATGAGGCCAATGTTAATGCTACCAGGGGGAATCTGACCTGCAGGCCTTACTATTTATTCATGTTTTTTTCTGTATTGAAAAAATCGATATGTGATGCATATTTCTTAGTTTTTTAAAGTAATATACAAATATTTCATTACGATTTTACCTTTACATCGTGATTTCGATCACCGCCTTCACTTTACGAACGAGTTACCTTGAAATATCAAGACGTCATGTTATTCTCATACTTATAGAACTCAATGTAACTGTCCTTGGCCATTTATTAAGCAGTAAAAAATTAATTTGCTTCATGTGTGACAAAATGTTTCTACTTTCCTGGTGAATGTCGAGTCTCGCATCATACAAATGTAATTTTAGGCGACCTGTCTGCACGGGGTGTTATTGCAAACCGTTGATAACTTGATATGTCTGTCAAGGGTGTTGGTACACATTCATCTTTTGATATTTGTTTATTTTTTGCTAATTAAGGAAAACATTAAAACGAACAAATAATGTCCAATTAAATATCCATCCAATATACAAATTATGTATAGTACGTGTATTCAATATAGTCCAAGTAGTATAATGCCAGTAGTATAGTATACTAGAATAATCGAATGATGACAATAATACAAATGATGATAGTAATATTTCTGATGATCACTTCAAATAAAAGTAAATGACCAACAACACGATGGATTGGAATTGAACTGAAACTCGATCTCTGATATAGAATCTTGCCTTTGAAGTCAAACTTCTCATCAGATAATCCAGACATGTCTATCTTCTAGATACGTGTCATCTAGTTTCAACTATTCATATTGTACCTATCAACGCAACCTACGTCGCCCCGCAAAATACCCTTCTTTCTCTCCCTTGATCTAGTTGGGTGGCAAGCTCGCTTCTATTGAAGAAAGCGATAAAATTAATCAATTACACCAACTCAAATTGTTACATGTATGTTCTCTCCAATTAGCAACGGAGCAGATCAAGGGAAGATACACAAATGTTTTTCATGCAACATAAAATATTTTGTGAAACGACCGTCGTTGTCTCAAATAACATCATTAATATTAAATATGGAAAGGGTTTGTCACATGGTTGTCTGACCACGAGGATTTAGGTAGCGCAGATGAGTTTCAGTTCAATTTCAATCCAGCATGCTGGTCGCTGCTTACTTTTATTAGAAGTGATCATCATTATTCCATTATTCTATTATACTATACTACTGGTATTATGCTACTTGGACTGTATTGTATACATGTACTGTACATGTACACTATAAGTTATTCAATGATTCGAGTGAAATACAGAAAATATTCTCCCCAAGAAGGTCTGTTTTCAGACAGATCAACCTTACTCACAACATAGATTTGATCGATGTATTTATTCTTGTTTTTTGTTACTTGTTATGTTCTTTCTCTTCAATTTCATCAGCTGAAAGTGCAGTGTAGCGAAACGTATTCTCGACTTTCGTCTACCATATTGGATTTTTACTAGTTCATGAAAACAATGTATATGCTTCAAATTGATTTCTTACATTTACAGATTTACAGCGGGTTTTTTATTTTTATTTATTTTTATTAAGTTATTCATTTGTACAAAGAATACACTACAATAATACAGTGTAAGTGGCTGTGCTTTTAGCATTATTAGCCACGTTCTACAATTACAATAAACAATGTATTCAATCAATACTATTGATTAAAATAAATGAGATACAATAAGATAAAAGTTGTTTTGTGGAGGATTTCAGACATTTACACATCGCTCTAAGAAAATGCACTGCACTTTAAAACAATCAGATTCTCAGCTCTACTCAATCTTTTATCACCATTGAGGATCAGAGAAAGTTTATCACGTTATACGGGAGTATTTTATATTCATATTTTTTAGTTGGTTTCCTAATTCAGTCCAGAATGTTAATCTCAAGTTACATCGAAAAACCACATGGCTATTTGTTTCACTGCTGATACCACATGAGCAGATGGGGGAATTTACATTGGTAAAGTTATGCGAGTAAAGGTGAGCCTTGAAAATGAAATCACATCGTACTCTGTTAAATATCATTTCTTGGTTTCTTGAGATGGACAATTCTGATGAGTTTATAACAGTTTCGTTAAAAAAACTGCTTTTAAGGCTTGATTTAAATATGCTTAAGCTAGATGAGTTCTTTATATCAAATGAGAGTAGATTCCATTCTGATATTATTTTTGAGATACAAGATCTTTCATAAAATTTGGATTTAACTGGTAAAATATAGTCAAGTTGGTGTCTTAGTTCATGTGTTTGATTTCTTTTTAGTGGTTCAAATATCTCAGCGACATAAGAAGGCAGAGTGTGGGCCTATTTAAAGTATTCAACACTTTTGTGGCTGATGTTCCATGCATGGCACCTGAACAAATAAGTGCAGCTTTATAGTAAAGGCGGTCTAAAAGTTGTAGTTTTGTCAAATTTGCACATCCGTAAAGAATGTCACAATAATCAAAGAGTGGCAAAATAAAAGACTTAAAAATTGTTTCAAGTTGTATTCCACTTATTTTCTTACTGAAGAATTTTAACGGATTTATGAGTTTATCTATTCTTGCTACAAGTTCATTAATGTGATAGTCAAAAGTGAGATTTTTGTCCAAAATCAAGCCCAAGTGCTTGTGATTGTTTACTCTTGGTAACTTGTCATTACCAAGGAAAAGATCTGGGGTCAATATTTCGCGCTTTCTTGGATTAAAAAAAGTCATATCTTTACTTTTACTAGCTTTGAAGTTTAATTTCCATGTATTTGACCATAAGAGAATTTTATTTAGATCCTCTTGTAATTCATTATTCTTTGCAGCTGCTGTTTCAACTGTGAAGGATTGGTAAAGTGACGTGTCGTCTGCATATATAAAACATTTGGTATTTAAGTTATCAGGTAGATCATTGATATAAATTAGGAACAGGAGGGGGCCTAATATGGAGCCTTGAGGTACTCCTGCGTTTATATGGTTCATCTTAGATAGTTCAGACTCTTGGCCATCTCATACAACTTTAACTTGTCTATTTGATAGGTAAGATTTCATTAATTCTATGATGTTATGACCAAAACCATAAATTTTCAATTTTTTTAATAGTAGCCCATGGGGCATTGAATCAAAGGCGGCTGAAATGTCAAGATAAATCCCCCTTCCATTGGCCCCATTTTCAATTGCATTAGTTATGACATCAATTACACTTAAAAGCTGTGCCTGGGTGCTGTGACCTGGCAAAAAGCCACTTTGGAGGTTGTAAAATAAATTGTTCACAATGAGATGGTCAAAAGGTTTTTTGAAGATTACGCGTTCTGCAACTTTAGATATACAGCTCAGGAGAGTTATAGGTCTATAATTTTTGACATCTGTTTTGTCTTTACTTTTGTGAATTGCTACAACGTGGCTTACATTCCAAGGTTGGGGGTATTTATTAAGAATGAACATTTTGTTTAATAATTTTGATAATATCGGTGAAGGTGATGGTGCTGCCATTTTAAGCATTCTATTGCTTAACATGTCAGGGCCAGTAGCTTTATTTGTGTCTAATCCATGTAAAATGCTATAAACCTCTCTATCATTAGTAGAGAGTATGTCAAAAGATTGATCAGTTCTTGGAATAAGAGTTTCATTTTCTTCTTGATAATTTATATGATATTTGTCAGTGAAATGAGACAGTAGCAAGTTTGCTTTGTCATGGCTATCAGTGTGGGGTTTCTATCCTCAAACTATAAATTATGATGATCACAGTATCATTTTCATATATTTAAAACAGATGTCTAGCAAAATGCAAAGATAAGCAAGCGACAGCTTAAACTAATCGCCATCGAATTTTTCAGTAGCAGTCATATCCTGATACTGAACCGTATCCCAACGGTGACGTCATTTTTCACTCTGTATCCAACGCTAAGTTGAGAGTGCGTGTGAATACAGGATATATTTAAGTCACATGGACCAATCAGATTGAAGGGAATTCCACCATCATATAGAATAAAATTGTATATTGGATGGACATTTAATCGGACATTATTTGTTCTTCGCCCATTCCCCACCACTTCCCATCAGATATGACTACCCATATAATTGATATTAATATAATTATTCTATATAAAAATATATTAATTTCACCCACACAAATTGTTTCATTCTCTCCAATTAGCAAACGAGCAGATCAAGGGAAGATACACAAAAACATATTAGAGAATATCTGGACCTAGTCTGTGTGTCACCATAGTCACCAATATTATATACTTATTAGTAAATAATGTACGAAGAAACGGAATTCTAAATGTAGGACAATTAACAAAATTATACCTGTAATATATTTTTGGGGCACAAATCTTACAACCATTCCACCAACGTTTGCAGTATCGTACAGTTTAGTTGGGCATCTCGCATTTGCTTCAGTCAAAGCGGCGTAACTTTCGTTCCAAACAGAACTCCGTGTCCATGGTAGGGTAGCTATTGTAAACCGATTCAATGGGCATTGCCTAACACTACATAGATCGTCGCCAGCGTAATAACATGATGCGTGGTCCAGTTTTTCCGGGGTAAGATCTCCACAATTAGAGTTATCCAGAATCGAGTTCAAGTTCTGTCTCATACATCGGACCACAGATTCAGCCCATTTCCCGCCCTAAATAACAAACCAGAACATACATGTAGATGACACTTAAAGCAGACGAAAAATACAATTCCCTGTGAACGTCTCAGTGACCCCTGTTACACAGGCCAGTTGAAATGCTTCGTTACGAAGCAATTTGACAAAAAGCTTCGTAACGAAGCAATTTTGGGCCAGTGTAACACCTCCGCCTTCGTTGGAAAAGCTTAGTTGATAACGAAGCAATTGAGTAGAAAATTCAACGAAGGTTAGCTCCCAACGAAGCTTTTTTGGCCTGTGTAACAGGTAGCTTCGTTAGAAAATGCTTAGTTGGCGATTTGCGCATGCGCGTAATAAAGAGCACATTCATCATTTTGTATTAAATGAGAGGAATCGCGAGGAAAGAACATGTTTTTAAGTACGTATTATTATAATGCTACGTTTTGATTAAAATAATTACCTATTTGCGTCACTGATTGACGCTAACTCAAGCCCTAAACGCCACGTACAAATGTGATTTACCGTCTTTCGTAGCATTTCATTCGATTCCCTGCCTTTCCTCGCATTGATATGACAAAAAGTATTAAATCTAAAAAACGCAGGTTTTACCGTATATGTATACGGTAGTTTTGAAACGTTTATCTGATCTATTAGAGAATAAACCTAGAATATTTAAATGTCCCTCTTTCGGCAAACTCCGTCTCAAGTGTGGAAGGGTAAACTTTTGAAATTACATAAGATATGCTTACTAAATAGAAAGTTGTGGCATACATGTTTAATATTAATTTTTTCTTGCGCCTCGAATAATTATACCTTGAATGTAATTCTAAAGCCCGTGTTCTAAAGGTGTTAATACCATGATACTGATACAATTGCTTCCCGGTGAATCACATCAGGGAATATAGCCGATTTGATTGATTCGAAAATGTCTCTCTTCAGAAATCGTATTCAACTGGCTATCGCCCCATTCTGCCATTGCAATACATGTACTTGTACTAGATAGTCGTTCCATTATTTTATTCTTCGACGATTTTAAATTGTAATTGAATTTAAACTTCATGTTTAAATATATTGAATTAATTACGTTTCAAAACTTCCGTAAAACTTCCGTAAAACCTGCGGACAAGGAACGGTGGCCAAAACTGTTTCTTGTCGACAGATATTTGCCACAGAGAGGCTGCATGTTTTAGGCCAGCCCCAAACACTATTGATGTGTCGTAAGACGATGCTTACAACTGATATTCAAGTTTCTTCCTATTTGCGCCATTTTCGAATTCAACGGACGGCTTATGGATTAACATACTAATTTATGTCAAACTCACTCAAATATGCATGGAGTATTGGCGAGACGGGTAATATTCATATTAAAATGAATTGGTCATGAAATAGTAGTTACACGCGGTCTTAACTTCGACCGTTAATTTGAATTTTTGACCTACCGGATGTTTGAAAATCAAGGATTACGAGTCTCATACTGCACCGTTTTTCTTCAAACTTGTTCCATTCAAAGCATAACAAAAATCCCTTTCTGATGGTACATTATTCTCTTAAACAGAGTCCCTACTTCCAGCGGCATTTTGGTCCCCAGCTGTAAGAAGGCCTTCTAACAACTGGGGACCAAAACGCTGCTAGAATGAGGGACTCTTTACAATAAAGTAATGCACCGACAGAAAGGCAATTTTGTTTTGCTTTTTATGGTATAGGTTTGAAGAAAAACGGTGCAGTATGAGACTCGCAATCCTTGATTTTCACATCTGGTAGGTCGAAAATTCAAATTAACGATCGAAGTTAGGACCGCGTGAGTTAAACCACCAGCCGAACACCGAGATATTTTAGTAATGGCTACACTATTTGAAATATAACTGAGAAGTCTATTTGGAAATTGAACATTTTTATACGATATTACATACTAGTCGTCTGAATAAACCCCAAATCCAATTCCTCCTAGTAATTAACATAGGCCTATTTTTATTCCACATGTTTTCCAAAGGAAATGATAGAAAATGAAAACAATACTTGTAATCGTATTGACAGCTGAAATATATAAAAATCGAAATGATAGGGAAAATGTATGGACAAGTGTACGGAATGATCACATTCATCTTGTTTTATTTTCCCGAGAATTTTGAACTAGTCTTTTTCTGTGCTGATTTGTTAAAATAAAGATTAAAAATTAGATTTTTGAGTTTGATCAATGGTTTATATCAAAAGAATAGAAATATTAATCATAATAAGTGGGTGGGGCAGATGAGTAATGCGCACGCGCAACGAAGCATTTTAAGTGCAGTGTAACACCAAATAATTGCTTCGTTAGGGTTGGATAAAGCCAGTGTGGACACAATTTTTTCGCTAACCTTCGTTACAAAAATGCTTAGTTGGACTCAACCCAGCAGTGTAACAGGTACCAGTGTACTCTAAACATGTAATTACGTATTATATATCCAAGCCAAATTGAAAAAATTGAGGGGGAATTTTCTGCCGCCAGAAATCAGAAAAGTTTTTCAACCAATCAGAAGGCGAGCAATTCCAGGAAGTAGAATGACGATACACAGTTTGAACACGTTTCAAATTCGAGATGCACGACAAGTGTATTTATTGATACGATCAGATATTTTATGTGTTTGGCGTTTTCGATAATTTCTAACAACTGCGACTTCCAACTTAATTTTCGAACGCCAAATATGATGGTCACGAAGTGATATTTAGGTCACATGTGTTATGCTCACATAAAACGTGTACCTTAACTGTCGAATACATGTCTTGTCGCATCCATATATATATCCAAATAATCAATGTTCGAATCGGTTTATCATCTAGCCCGGTGTTCCATTTTGATTTATCTAAGCCAAATTGAAAAAATACAATATCGTCTTTGCTTATAATTTTACACGAGGGTCAAAGAAAACAATAGAAATGCATGAAACCCTTTGTGAAAATGCGAACGATTTTTCAAGAATACTCCCTTTCAGTGATTTTCGACGGATTTTATCGCTTACATCTCTTAAATTGAATATAATAATCTCATTGAAATGAATATTCACCTTATGTTGATCCGCCACGATAAAATGCCTTGAATGTTTTGAAAAAGCATCGGGTTGACACGCTGACATCTGGAATTTTAATTTCCAACACCGTTTTCGACTCATGTCGACAAGTCATGAAAACAAACTTGAACATTAAACATTGACCAAGCCACCGTCTTTTTGACATGAAATCACCGAGAAGAACATTTTAGTTACTGAAATTGTAAACAGTGTTTTTATGTCACCGATAAGCTTCCTGTATAAAAACAACATGGCGGCTCCAGGTGAGTCAACTGGATCAGTCAATTTTTAAGAAATAAGGGGAGTTTTTTAAAATCCAGTTTATAGAAATTGTCTTGTAGATAATGTACACGCCTAACCATCGACAAGGTACAGTGACAAAGTATACCGTAAAACACTATAGATGTACGGTCACTATTTTACCGATTTGAAGCAAGGACAATGATGTAGGTTTCATGTAGGTTTTAAAAAAAATAATCTGAGGAATACATTAAAGATTTCATGTTTGATTTTTTTGTGTATTCCTTGAGGAAGACATTTAACTTTCTAATAACGTTGAAAGATTTTCGAACTGTTGTCGAATTTTTCGAAGTCAATCTACGTATATAATTGGTCGGTTGGAAAATTTTGTTTTTTACACATTTCTTTTGATCATTTCCTCCCCTGTCGTCTAAGAATGTAGAATATTTTTATGAGAATATGTTTATTTTAACAACACAATTAAGGTCTGTTGAAGATTTAATAAGTATTAACGTTTTGGCTATGATTTAAAAATTATAATTGTACGTTGTCAACTCGAATGTACGTAGTCCCATTGAACTTACTCAATATTTTTCATAACACTAACAGGCAGGGGATCAGATGCATTTGAAATTGAAACAGAACAATTACAGAATTACTTCAATTTGATTGAACTATTGAAACTATTGAGCACTCTCCAGACATATCATAAACAGGATTTTAAAAAGTCATATTCAACTAGAAAATGGCAACTCCACGGAGTAGCAAATCCCAACGAACACTATATAAATCATCAATCTGTACAGTCACAATGTAATATATACCATCTACTCTTACCTTCAAAAAATATTTTAAATCATTGTAGTATCATGTAACCATACTTTCAAGATAACTTTAAGTAATGTCGAATTTCTGCTCTAGTCAGCCATTTTGAATTTTCAGAGGCGCAAATCAGAAAAACAATCCCATAATTGTGATCTACTCTGAAATACCTTCAATTTGAGTATAATATAGCCATACTTTTAAGAGATCAGAAAATGTTTGCGAAATCCCGCATTAGGCGGCCATTTTGAATTTTTTGAGGCCCGAATCAGAAAAACGCTACAATATTTACAATCTACTCTAAATTGCCTTTCATTTGAGTATAATAAAGCTATACTTCAAAAACATCTCAAAATTAACGCAAATTCCTGTTTTCCTAATCCCCCATTTACGGCCCCTGGGGGTCAGGGTGAAAAACCCGGGATATTTGTGAAATAGATAGATGTTGTTAATATACTACCAAAATTTCAAATAATAATATTTATTATTTTGGTTTAAAATGAAAAACATAAGATTTTTGTGAAAAATCCCCGCCATTTTTAAACTGGCGGCCATCTTGAAAAAAACTATTTTTGCGTAAAACTATTCACCAATATACATCTTTCCACCAAATATGAAGAAAATCTGTTGACCAGTATTCGAGTTATCTTCTGGACAGACGGACGGACTGACTGACTGACTGACGGACTGACGGACAGACGGACGGAGGGCTTCACTATATCCCTACAGAACTTCGTTCGTTGGGATAATAAGCTATAGATCTATCTATCAATATAACTAACAAAAGGTAAGGTACAGACGCCAAATAATCAAGGAGGCTGGAAGAAAACTCCGTGGCAGTGCTAGTCTTCAACATATTCTATTCCGAGACACTGGATGGGAATTTGGCCTGGAAGCAAACACCAAATGGGCACAAATTAACCACCACCA